CCCCAAAACCCCAAAACCCCAAAACCCCAAAACCCCAGTTTATGAATGAAATGTTGAGCAAAAATATTTAAACTTAATTAGACATGCTTAAATTGATGAATAATCTCTAGGTCTATTAATTGGTGCCTAATATTTAAGATTCCTGATCTTCATTAATTACTGAAATTACTTCAGCTTTACTGTAACTTAAATTAGCTCTAGCCTACATGTTTAAACCACAGATTTACCTTCAAACCAAAATTCTGGATGGAAAGTTTATCGTATTCTCTCGCTGCTTCAATTTCAGTCCTGAAGCCGCCTTTGTATAGCCGCTTATTGTTCAATGTTAAGGTCATCTATTACACAAAATTAGATCATCCAAAACTAAAAGGATCCAAAAAGTATGAAATTTAGCTCGTACCTGCCACTTTCCCTTATTCTTAGAGACTCCTCTGTATCTAGACCCTCTAAAATCTTCATGCTGGGCTGAGAAGGTCTTCAAATTTCTCTTTGGCTTGCCCTTAACTACAAGATCTTCTTCACTCATCTTTAAGAGTTTATCTAAGAGGAGCTCCCTATTGCGCCTCTTCTTCTCCTCAAAACTGACCTTCTTTGAACCTATTGAATATTATCAACAAAATGTCAATCATCAGAAAATTCATAAAGTATGAAAGTGTACAAAAGGTCTTATTTGTACAAAGATTAAAAGATATCCTTAAACTTCTATTTTACGCATTCAGAGGACTATTTAGGACATTTTGGTGACTTTTAACGAATTCTAAACTCAAATTTGCTCATACTGAAATATTATATGCCAGAATCACTGAATATGGAGGAAAAAATAATTTACACAAATAATTTGGAAGTCAAAATAATAGCCCCTTTCTGGAAGTATCCCATTAGCAGAGAAGAGGAATGTTAATTTTAACGAAGCGAGAGGGCAATAGAGCCTAGAGATAGACCTCATCGATAATTTGAGGAATAATAATTTTTTGAGCGTTCCTTAGATGAAAACTGTTTTTAATATATTTACCAAAATTTGAGGAATATGTCATTTTTCCTAATAAAAAAGGATCAAAATGGCTAAATACAGCTCTAAACGGTCGTAAGCAGCCTCTCTTGCGCATATAATTTTTTTTATGTCAGAAAACTTCCAACCTGACCTGGAATTCTTCTAACTTTTCTAAAAATACTTCTAATCTGGCTGAAGTTTCATTCATTCTGAATAGAAAATTCATCAAGTGGTTTATGAAAAATATGTGTCTTGAATAGAACCCTCAGGGTCAGCCATGGCCAGGGGCGGGCCCTTGAGAGAAGCCTTAGAGGGACTTCCATCCTAATCAGAATCATGAAATGGATGGGCGAACCTTCGTTTAATTCCTGTTGAAAAAGTGCAATTAAATCCAATTTTGTGCTAATAAAAAGTGCACTTAATTATTTTGCATGAAAACAAGAAACTGAAGTATAGATGTAGCTTAGGCCTTATTTACCCGGATGGCTTACCTCTGCTACTAGGTTGACTGCTGATGCCTTCATCGAGCTTATCGATAGAAATATGATCCACAGGAGATTCTTTGAAGTAAGAAAGTGGCATCTCAGTAGACATACAACTTTCTCTTCTTAATTTGTCACAAATCGTATTCAGATTATCGATACTGACATTTTGGTAAGCCATTGGACTTCTTAAGGACTCTTGGATCTCTGTTCGATAAGCTAACGGTCTTTTCCTTTCATAGGATTGTAAGAGAGTGTGGCTATGAAATTACTGCTATTAAATTACATCAAACTAGGAAAAATGTGTCCATCTCTGCTATCTCAGTCGCTTCAGCTGCTTTTAGAAAGATTGGTAATCTGCAGAATCTTATTCACTAATTGGGAATTATCAAAGGATTTTCTTGGATCTGAAATATTTTTCTTCTTGTTGGCAATCTTGGTTATCATAATAAATGTGTTAATATTATAGCTGCCAGCTCAATATAAATTTATCCCCATGGGGTTTTGGGGTTTTGGGGTTTTGGGGTTTTGGGG